ATTTCTCTTGGGTAAATACATAGGGGTGGAATTATGGGATTACATGGCAAGTGTGTGCTAACTTTATAAGAAAATGACAAATTGTTTTCCAAAGTGGCCATATCATTTTGTATTCCCACCAGCAATGTATACCTGACTGTGTGCTCACCTCACCTCCTTCTGTGAACATGGAACATTTTCAGGCCCTAGTCTGGCCGTCCCACCTTCTGGCCCCAGCCTGCTGTGCACGGCCCGTCCTCTGTAAGTCCTGCACTGCCACGCGTCACAGCTGCCCACCATTGCCCAAATACTCGAAACCTTCAGGCCTTCACTTTAGGTCATTCCCTTGGCCTCGCTGGCCCTTCTTTCTGTGCTGAATCTGAATATCAACTTTAAGACCCAGCTCAGGTGAATCCCTGGCCAGTTTAGTGGGAATTTACGACTCCCTCCTCAGCAATGCTGGCACATTCCTTCTCGGGTTAGCCTCATACCTACCTGTGCTAGAGAGAGGTCATTACTTGGCCACTTTCCCTAGATCGTCTGCTTGAGGGCACTGGTCAAGTCGGATTGGATCCCCCTCCACTGCCTGCCTGCAGAGGCTCATCATGTATTTGGAATTGTTTGGTTACTACTCAATTCAGTGTAATCTTCAATAGTGAATCGTGCCCTGGCCTGGTAAGAACGTGACGTCACTGTGTTTGTTTTGAGCTTTGCATCAATCTAACCAAGCACTTTCCTTGGTTGGACCCTATAGATTACTGAGAAATCTTGAGAAAATGTTAAAGATTGTCTTTTCTCAGCCTAGTCCCCGAGAAAGATCCAGCTCTTCCTTCGGTGAGATAGCCTGGGATCCTCCTCCCGATGGAGCAGGCAGAGGCTGCCCACGGACTTCCAAAGTCCGCCTTAGACACTGCCACGTGGGCGGTTGATTGGCACCTGAGCCCGGCGCCCTTGCAGGCTGGCACTTCAATTCATCGTGTTGTACGAAGAGGATGGGTTGGCAGTTCTACGCCAGCCTAGCTGCGGGCCCTGGGCCAGTCACTGCACATCTGAAAACTTTACATACTGGATCTTTTTTTCCTCTAGCTCTTTCAGAACCACCATACAAATCTTCAGCAGTTTTCCCCTCACTCTGCCCTTCCTCCACCCCAGATTCTTGCTTTTTGGGGGATTCCAGCCCAGGCCTGAGGCCTCCCTCTGAGATCTCAGGTGTCTCCCCCCAGAGCACTGCTTTGATTTTGGGAAAACACATGTGCCCTTTCTATAAAAGCTTCCAAAACACCCATGGGATGACGGCTGTGCAAACCGCCCTCACCCCACCAGCACCTGAAGGAAGCAGTTTCACAATTCTTGTGCCATTTGTCCTGAGTCCCAGCTGCCTTTCCCTGTCTGACAGAAAGGCCTTCTCCGCTCCTGAAACCACTGCTCACAGGGCGTGGTGAAAAGTCCTCACCCCGCCCCCTCCCTTCCTGCCACTCTCCTGTATCCGTGCTCCAGGTTGCTGTGTCACTCTTAAGGTCTGGCCCCCAAACTGGGAGGATTCCAGGAGAGGCCTGGAGTTGAGTCCCGGTGTGAGCAGACTCCCACCTCCCCAAATCTGCACACTCTGGCTCTATTAATGCACCTAGAATTAGAGCGATGTTCTTGGCTTGTTCTGAACTCAGCCCTCCAAGTTGCACTTGCTGCTATTCTTCGGGCGTCTGGTGTCCTGTTATGTGCAACTTGGTTTCATGAACCCAGGTGTAAAGTGTGTATCTTGAGTCCCACAGTTCTGGATTGGAATCCTGGCCCTGTTGCTTAGGAACTCCCCGTAAATTACTGACATAAATTATAGGCTGTTTAATTTCTCTGCGCCTCAGCTCCTCCATCTGTAAATGAAGATGATAATACTTATCTCAGGAGGTTTTTATGAGTATTAAATCAGACATGCTAAGTACTTGCACAGCGCCTGATGTACGGCGCGTACTCAGTAAGAGCTGGCAGTAGAGGTTGTGGCTGATGGTAGTGAGGGTTATTACGGTGAACTGTAAAATCTCCTGCCTGCTGTGTCAGACTCCGGACGTTTGCAACCAGAGCTCCAGTGGAAACCTTCCATCCTCCCAGGCTCAGCAAGCCGGGTCTTGATCCCAGATAGCCCCCTGGTGGCTAGTCCATGAAGGTGCAGGCTCAGGAGGACAAAGGGAAGGCGGGGTCTGCAGGCGAGAGAGGTGGCCGCTGGAGAGTGGGTCCCCACCCTGGAGAACGAGAGGCGGGTGCTGTGCGGAGAGCCCCAGGCTGGGTGTCAGACTGAGTTTGGGTCTCATCTCTGTGCAATTCTGGCTGTGAGACCTCAGACAAACCCTTCTCCTCCTCGGGCCATCGGGTAAGGCACATCAGGAATGCGGAGGGTGGCTCAGTGTTTCCCAGAGATGAACAGGGCCCCTGCACAGTCATTTTTTATCTGAATAGTTACGTATTTTCATGCATGTTAGAAAAAATCATAACTCTCAAATCCTTTACTTTATGGATATTATCGTTTTAAGATGAATAAAACATGTTTTTAAAAAATCTATATACATTTTAAAAATATTAAGTAAATAATAGTACAAGTGGTATTCTACCTGGGTACAAATTATTAATATAAAAGTGGTAAGCAAAACAATGGAAATTTGGGCAACTCTGGACTAGGTTATGTGTGATTTCCTGCACAGTCCTGATAAATTAATCCTACCTATATACTACCTGGTACATTACCTATCATAATAGCCACCATTTATTGTTAATGTTTCAATGAGCTTTACGTCTACATTTATTTCTCACAGCAATATAGACAGCTATTATTACTATTATTTACTATTTTCATTTTACTGAAAATCAAGAAGCCCAACTGAACTTTGACGAAGGCGCAAAGGAAATACAATGGAGAAAAGATGGTCTTTTCCACAAATGGTGCTGGAGCAACTGGACAGCCACATGTAACAAAATAAATCTAGACATAGACCTTCCATCTTTCACAAAAATTAACTTAAAATGGATCTCAGACCTAAATGTACAATGCAAAACTATAAATCTCCTAGAAGATATCATAGGAGAAAACCTAGATGACCTTGGGTATAGTGATGACTTTTTAGATAAGACACCAAAGGCACAATCCAGAAAAGATATAATTGATAAGCTGGACTTCATTAAAATGAAAAACTTGTGCTCTGCGAAGGGCGACGTCAAGAGAACAAGAAGACAAGCCACAGACTGGAAGAAGATATTTGCACCAAAGATGCATCTGATAGAAGACTGTTGTCCAAAATATACAAAGAGTTCTTAAAACTCAACAATAAGACAACAAAAAAAACCCAGTTAAAAAATGGGCCAAACATCCTACAGTTACCTTGCTAAAGAAGATACATAGATGCCAAAAAAGCATATGAAAAGTTACTCCACATCATATGTCATTAGGGAAATGCAAATTAAAACAATGATGAGCTACCATTACACACCCATTAGAATGGCCAAAATCCAGACCACTGACAGCACCAAATGCTGGTGAGGCTGTGAAGCAACAGGAACTCTCATTTGCTGGTGGGAATGCAAAATGGTTCAGACACTTTGGGAGACAGTTTGGTAGTTTCTTATAAAACTAAACATACTCTTGCCATACAATCCAATAATCTCACTCCTTGGTATTTACCCAAAGGTATTGAAAACTTATATCCACACAAAACCTGCACATGGATGTTTATAGCAGCTCTATTTATAATTGTCAAAAATCAGAAGCAACCAAGATGTCCTTCAGAAGGTGAATGGACAAATAAACTGTGGTACATCCAGACAATGGAATATCATTCAGTGCTAAAAAGAAATGAGCTATCAAGCCATGAAAAGACATGGAGGAGCCTTAATTATATTGCTAAGTGAAAGAAGCCAATCTGAAAATGCTATGTATGATATGATTCCAATTATAGGACATTCTGGAAAAGGCAAAACTATGGAGACAGTAAATAGATCAGTGGTTGCCACGGGTTTTGGGGAAGGAGGGGTGAATAGACAGAACACAGAGGAGTTTTAGAGCAGTGAAACTACTCTGTATACTATAAAGGTAGATACGTGTCATTATACATCCGTGCAAACCCATAGAATGTGCAACACCAAGAGTAAACCCTAATGGAAACTATGGACTTTAGGTAATAATGATGCATCAACATAGCTTCATCAATTGCAAGAAATACACCACTCTGGTGGGAGGATGTTAATAGGGTGGAGGTACATGAGTGGGGGCAGAGAGCATCTAGGCTATCTCTGTACCTTCCACTTCATTTTGCTGTGAATTTAAAACTGCGCTAAAAAAAAAATGATACCTTAAAAAACAACGAGAGGACAAGTCATACCTGTTCCAGGCCACATAATTAGTGTATGACACTGTGCAACAACAGACTTGCAAGCCCAGAGCTACAGTCTGCGGTGGTGTCCCCCACGGATGTGCCTCCTCTGCCCAGCTGGACTGGGAACTCGCCGCCAGGGACTGGGCTTTCCAGCGGTTGCCCAGTGATGTCACGTGCAGCTGGGCCGCAGGTGAGCTGTGGAGTAGCAGCCACAGGCTGATTCTGGGTCCCAGGAGGGCTGGCTTCCGAAAACCTGTGATGGTAAACTCCTCGCTCCAACTAGTGCCATGCGGTGCAGAGTGCTGGCTGGGGGCAGGCGTCCCCAAGTCTCGTCCTGGGCCTCTGGCTAATCTGCTGGTCAGTGGACTCATCACTCAGAGCCTTAGTTTCCCCATCTTTAAACCGAGGGGCTCGAACCACTGCAGACAGAGTTGGAGGCCTTTTTCCCAATAGTTTCCTGTGCCCCAGCCCCAGAGGTTCTGATCTGTGGCGGGTAGGGCTCAGGAATCTAGTTTTGTAGCTTTGCCAGGCTGGGAGTCACTGTGCTTGATGACCTCTAGGAACCCTTCCAGCTCCCAAATTCCATGAATCTTGGCTTAGAAGGGCCTGTGGACCCTCATGTGGTTCCCCTGACGCAACCTCAAACAGGCTAAGTGACACAGAAAATAACAGTAAAAAAGATACTTTATTGTTAAAAAAAAAAATCCCAACTCACATGACCAATGAAACCATGCGTCCTGTCACTTGCGCTCACAGTCACGCGCACAGCCGCAAGCCACTCACACAAACGGGCTCTCGCCCACACAGCTCCCTGGCGCTGTGCAGCAGCCCTGTGGGCGAGTCTCCATTGCTCTTCCCTTTGACTTTTGTCTCCAGAAACAGCACACGTGAAAAGGCAGTGGACCCGGGGGAGGAAGTGTGAGGCCACCAGAAGCCACAGTGGCTCCTGGTCTCCACCACTCCTCGCTACATACACTCTACACATGTGTACACACGTACTGTCCATGGGCACCCACATGTGTAGACACGTGCCCACATTGACCCTCCATGCATAGGGCTGAGTCACTGCAGGTAACACTTGACTGGCAGGCGTCTGAGCCGTAGGGGCAGGAGAGGGCAGGGCGTCCAGCCTGGACACTCCGCTGTCCCTCTGCCTGCCTCCACCCTGCCCCGAGTGGAAGCTCTGAGTTCCTTGTGTCCAGAAAAGAAAAGTCCATTTGCGGAAACTCCTCCAGACAGCAAGGTCGAAAAGTGCCTAAGAATTTTCAAAATGAAGAATTATTTCCTTCCTGCCTTTGGCCAAAAGTGCCTGGGAACCTGGGGGTGAAGAACCCAGAGTTCCGTGAGGTCTGAATTCTTTAACAAAGAAGGTTCGGGGCTATGCAGAATCCTGGCGGGCCCCGGCTGGTGGAAAGTCGTGTGACTTCCAGAGGCGCGTGAGTTGCTCTGAATCTGGGCTGGAGGAGCAGGACCTCTGGGAGACGAGGCCCAGGTGATACTCCCAGAGCCGGTGTCGCCCTTATCCCCGGTGCCTAGTGCATTGTCTGACACTTGACAAACAGATGTACCAAAGAGGCAGAGCACACAGGTGGCTTTTGTGCCTGCTCACCCGCTGCCTACTTCTCAGCTCCCGGAGGACACGGAGTGGCCCTCTCTAGCGCGTCTCTGCGGCAGGTGCAGTGGTTGCCTGTCAGGCACGAACCGCCTGCCTCCACGATGGCGCTGTGGGCAGGTGTACGAACGAGCACAGCTGTTCAGGCCCTGCCTGCCAGACCGGAGACGGCCTGTCTCTCGCCCGCCCCGGGAGTCGGGTGCTCCTGGCTTTCCAGGTAACTGCTCTATGCATCCCCCTCTCCTGGGGCCCCCCCATACTGTTTCTGGAGCTCCACCCTCAGCTTCCCTCTACCCTCAGGGACTAGCTGGGGGACCTGAAGAGCGCATTTCATGGGATGGCAGCCTGGACTGGGGGTGGGGGCTTCCCTCCCACTCTCCCAGCCACACTCAGCTCACTGCCGACAAGACAGGAAGAAGGTGCCAAGTCCTTGGCCTCCCACCTGCCCTGCTCTGAGAACGGGGAGCTAGAACATGACCTCCTCACAGCTCCCATAGTCACTCTCCACCATGTCAGAGCCCTCATAGTTGGGGGGTGCCCGGGGCTGGCCCCGGCCTCCTAGGGGCGCCCCCTCTGCCTCGCAGTCAGCGTAAGAGGGCCCAGCCCGGCTGAGCCGCATGCTCACCCCCTTGTAGCCCCCCTCTGCCAGGCAGGGCCCGGCCCCGCCCTGCCGGAACTGTGAGTGGTAGTAGCTGACGGCTGTGTACTCGTTGAGACAGGGGGCCAGCAGGCGCTCCCGGGGGCTGGGGGGCCGTGAAGGCATCAGGTCTTCCAGGTTCTGGTTGCTGTAACGGGGTGGGAGAGGTGCTCGCTTGTTCTCCACCTCCAGGGGGAAGGGGAAGCCCCCATAGAGGCCAGCAGGCTCTGGCATCGCCGCTGGGGTCGAGTGGCGGTGAGGCGAGGGTGGCAGAGGGCCCTGGGTCACTGCAGAGTGGGGGTATGCCCAGCCGTCCTTCCTGGAGTAGGTAGGGGGCCAGACCATGGCTCTGCCTGGGTACGCTGAAAGGGAACAGCAAGACAGGGTGAGTGCTGAGTTTCCCTGAAGGTTCCCGCTGGCCCTATAGCTGCTACATGTAACTTGGCATGTGGCAGAGATGGCCCCAGGCGTGGGTGGGTATGTGGCCCATCTCTGTATGTTGTCTGTGGCAGTTTAGGTTGATACATAGAATCCAGTAGGCGCAAGTTCAAGGCTAGAGGTTAACCCAAAGGCCACCCATCCTGCACATCTCTGCCATTGAGCTGGGGGTCAGTGAACAGGGAAGACTGTGGGTGGCTCCATGCAGCCCACCCCATGCTGGGTATGGCAACCCCAGCCCAAGTCCTACGGGTTGGGGGTTCTTCTCTTTAACTGAAGGAGACACAGTTTGGACTCGGAGGTGTGAGAGTGCTATCTCACAGAGCCATGAAATGAGATGTGGCTTGGAAATCAGAAGACCAGACAGAGTCCTTGGTCCTAGCCCTGTGTCTGCTACTGAATAGTTGAGTGAGTTCAAACAAGTCACTTCATCTTTATGGACCCCTATCCATGAATAGTTGAAATGCTTTACAAATTCACCTCCTTTTGAGCAGAGATGAGAGGAGGGTGAAGTTCCCTCCACTAGGCCTGCCAGGTCTGGCCCGAGGCTGCTGCATCTCCAGATTTGGCAGCCAGAAGCCTGGACCACTGCTTCTCTTTCCCTTCCCACAAAAGCACAGATGTACAGAAGTCCCCTTTCCATTCCAGAGATTCTGCCCAACCCTATCCAGGATCTACAAGTTCCTTCCATGCACATCAATCTCACGGAGGGACATGGAATTTAGACGAGTGGATCATAGTGCAACAGAATGAGCCACAGACTCTGAGTCAAGAGACACCCCCTCCCATCAATCCCAGAGGCTAAGGGCCTCCAGCTGTACTGACCCATCTCCTCGCCTGACCAGGTTCTCTTGATGATGGACTCATTGCTGGAGTGCGAAGGCGCCACGGCAGGGGGGAGTCTGGGAGGCACGCTGCAGACCACCGGCCGTTGCTTAGAGTTGGGTCCAAACGTGACGAGCTCATTCTGAAGGGAGGTCTTGTTGGGCTCCGGTTGGTTCAAGTTGTTGCAGGAGCCAGTGCTCAACGGGTTGAGCTCGATGGCAGGCATGGGCTGGGTGTCAACACCAATGCTCCTGGCCAAGAGGTCCGGGTCCTCCATGGCCACAGGCTTGTGAGACTTGCAGCGGCGGCAGTAGAAGAGAAGCCCAGCGGTGCTCACGACGATGAGTGCTATGGCTACCACGATGATCAGTAACTCCTGCTGCCCCCAGTCCCCCTTTGTGATCTCGGGAGTGACCAGGCAGTGCCCTTCTGAGCATCCCCGTGCCTCCATTTCACACCTGCAGAGACAGAGCAGCAGGCAGGGGCCGAGGCATTATACTGCCCTTTCCATGTCCCCTCTTACAAACATCTGTGGGCTAGAGACCTCTGCCCTCAAGGCTTCCCTCTCCCATTCTTCAACCACACACACAAAGATTATGAAACTTATCAACATCAGCACTTTCCATCTTCTGCCAGTAAAGTATGGCCCTCATTTGTGACCGTGAGGATCTGGGTTCAGGGCATGACTATTATTTTCCACCAATGGGATCTAGGCATTAGACATAGTCTCCACCAATGAGGTCAGATTCCCACCCGTACTGCTGCAGTAGAGACATGGCAATAATGTCAGGGTCCCAGACACAAGTCAGCAGTTGCCCAGCAACGGTAACCAGGCACCAAGGTTACCTGCTGCTCTTCACTAGGAGGTCACAGGAGCCCAGCATGGTCCTGCACCTTGAACTTCCTCAGGGAAAGCACTTTAAACTATATGGCCTCCCAGGGCACCTCCAGCCTGGTCTTCCATGGTGTAAGGCTCCCAGGACACTTCTATGGCCAGTTTTATGTACTTTTGAGGGATATTGGGAAAGCTTCCTCCATCCCACTTAATTCCAAAGCATCTCCCAGTGCCGGAAATTTCATCCCCAATAGAATGGATGGATAGATAGCATTCCCTACTGCAAAGTAGGGCAGGAAATGCCAGTTGCTGAGAAAAAGGACTTGGATCATCAACACACCAGGTAATCTTGGGCAAGCCCTTTCCCTGTCTGGGCCTCAGTTTCCCCATCTGTACAATGAGTGGGTAGCCCCAACATTGGCTCTTATAGCCAGGCTGACAGCAAGGGGATCCCTTAGGAGCTTGTATTAAAAATAGAATCCAGGCCCATTCTTGGAGATTGTGATTCAATTGGTCTAGGTTGGGTCCAGGAATCTATATTTTTTACAAGTCTCCCTCATGATTTTTTAAAGGTGTCCAAGTTTGGGAGCCATAAAACCAGATAATTGCCAAAGTCTCTTTACCTCTAGGATTCTAGGAATGACTCTCTTTCCCTTGCAGCTGCTACAGCCCTGCACGGCACAAGGCACACACAGCTTGCGGTGGGGCTCCAGACACAGCAGTGCCTGTACCACGTGGAATCACTTTCCCCAGGCCACTTTCTGGGAAGACCAGAGTAAGAGAACAAGAACTTCAGCCCTTTTCACACTGCAGCAAAGATCAGAACTACCTGAGGAGCTGGTTCAAAGTGCAGATTCGTAAGCCTCCACTCCTGAGTCTAATTCAGTAGGTTCAGAATAGGGCTTGAGAAATCTCCCTCCTCCCAAAGCGTTCTGATGCAGGTGGTTGGAGGGAAAAGACTTAACATGTGCAAGAGGCCTAAAGGTCAGGTCTCTGGAGCACTCAGCTCCTAGCCTCCCACTAGCCTTTCTAGAGGTCAGAGTGCACAGGTCATTCCCGAATGGTGCCACACCCAGGGTGAGGAGCCAGTGGCGGGCGGCCTCTGCTGGACTCACCTGTCGCCCGTGTAAGGGTGGGGGCAGTTACAGGAAGCTCCTTCAGGGGAGGAGATGCAAGTTCCACCTTCCAGGCAGGGTGCAGAAGTGCAGTTCTCCCTTCCTCGTTCACAGTGCTTCCCAGAGAACTGGGGGGGACACCTGCAGGTGTAGCCTGGGAGAAAGAGGAGGAAGGTGAGGAACGCACCGGCCTAGCAATTAGGGGAGGCCCTGGCGCATGTGCAGACCCATGTGTTCACGCAGCCACTCGGTCACCATTGACTTGCTGAGGGCCTCCTCTGTGCCCAGCACTGCGCCGGGCACTGGTGCCCCACCGAGCAAGAGCACTCGGTTCTTGCCCTCAAACGACTTACACTCCAGCAGAGAAAACAGTCACTTAAAGATTAGGAATGAACAGAATAATACTAATAAACACTTGATTAGTGCTAGTCACTGTTCTAAGAATCTTCATATATTGGTTCATTTGATCCTCATGGCGACCCTGACATTGGTTACTGTTACCATCCTCATCAGGGACGGGCACAGGGAGATGGCAGATGAGAGAAGGAGGCACAGAGAACCGATGACATTTGCTCAAGGTTGCACAGCTAGTCAATGGCAAAACTGGGGTTCAAACCTACACAGTTATCTATTAATATTATACTATATTAGCATCTCAGTCATTACGATAAAATTGGTTTCATTGAAGGGAAACGTCGGGAGTGGGAGGCTGGCTGAGTCTCAGGACCAGGGAGATACTTCAATTGAAATCTGAAGGGTGAGTAGAAATGAGGCAGGCAGGAAGGCAGAGGGGTGGAGAGGAAGGTGTTTCAGGCCGAGGAGGAGAGTGTGCAGAGGCTTGAGAGAGGGTGTGTCGTGCTCCAGGAGCTAAAACCACAGGGTGGGCCAGGCTGGCGAGGAACATAGGGAGTGTGGGGGAGCCACGTGCAGGGATTTGGACTCTATTGCATCCTGACAGCTGGGGGTGCGGCACCCCGGAGTGGTTCTCCGCAGGGGAGTGGCATGCACAGTTCTGCGTTGGATAAGGATCACACTGGCTCCTGCTGCAAGGAGGAAGTGGGGGGAGAAGCTGGAGAACAGGGAGGTGGCTGGTGCTAGAGAAAAGCTGAGAGGTGATGGGAGCTTGGCTCAGAGGGACAGCAGTGGGGATGCAGAGAAGTGATGGACTCCTTGGATATTTTACGGGTAGAAACGATAGCATGATTAGCCATCAAAAATCAGAAAATAGGATGAGGCCAAGTATTGACAGGCACTTGGGTACATGGGAACCTCACGCTCTGCGGATGAAATATAGACTGCTGCGGCCATGCTGAGAGCAATTTAGCTCTATTTAGTAAAAATAACTATTTGCATACTGTGAATATGTGAATTCCACCCCTGGGTGCGGGGTATGCGTGTGTGTGAAGGAAACTGTCACACAGGATCATAAGGAGACACATAGGAGGATGTTCGCTGCAGCACCATTGATGGAGATGAGCATTTGAAGCCGCCAGGATGTGTATCACTGCAAGGGTGAAGAAGAAAACTGTGAGCGCATGCACACCACGGAGTACAGAGCCACGATTAAAAGCAATGAATAAGAATTGCTTATGGCAGCAGGGACAGACCTCAAAAATATGTTGCTGAGTGAAAGTGTAAACAATTTTATACCGCTTACATAAATTAAAAATTGAAGCATGTGAACACAGTAATATGCATCTTGCAAGAACTCATTCAAAAACTTTAAATGTTTGCCTTGAGAGTTGGGGGAGGGGAAAGGAGTGGAGTACAGGTTAAAGGGGAATGAAAAAGAGACTTTGCATGGACTAGTGATGACACTAAGGTGTGCAATTAACTCAATCCTCTGTACCCAACGTCCCCACTTGTGTCCACCCGTATCCCAAAAAAATTAGAAAGGAAGTTTTTGTTAAGGGAGAAGGAAGACTCCTGGCTTCCCTTACTGTAGACCTAGCAGATCCCAACCTGCTACTCACAGGATAGTAAGGGGAAGAGAGGGAAATATGGAATCGGGAGGCAGGAGTTCTGCGCCCTAACACGCCCCTGCCACTTAAGAGCCACGTGGCCTGGGACAAGTTCCTTTCCCTCTCTGGGTATCCCTTCCCGCCCAGCAGGTTCCTGAGCTATAAAATGGAGCTCTCTTCCTCCTTCCCTTCCTCATGGGACTGCGGTGAAGGAACTTGCTTGTAAGCTCTCTGGTGACATATGATTGTCAGGTCAACATGTCAGGGTCCTCCGAAGAGCCTTCTGGGGTAGACCTGGGGGCCAGCCCTTGCCCCGGCCCTTACCTGCTCCGGGGGCCTGCGAGCACTTCCCCCCATTGAGACATGGGTTCTGGACACAGTCGTCACTGTGGAGGCAGCACTGGGTCAGGGCCTGTGTCTCCAGCAGGCCTGCCATTGTCTTGCCCTGGGACAGCAGCTCCAGTGCCTCTCCGTTGACCAATACAGCATCCAGGCAGCCTTCGAAGCCCTGGGAGACATTTGAGGAAGAAGGCGAGAGGATGAGCCCGCCCAGCAAGACGTGTCTTTCAGGCCTCGGACTCCAGCAGTTCTCTGGGACCACAAGGAAGGCGTCGCCCACGCTGTCAACCAACAGGCGAATGGAGGTGTCCATCTGCTCCACCAGGATGGAGTGCCACTCTTGGTCATTCACGTGGCGCCGGGAGGAGAGGTTTCCATAGTAACCTCCTGAACAGTGATATTCCAGCTGGGGCACCCCTTTGGCCAGCTGTAAAGAAACCCCAAATAGCCATCAGCAAAGCCAGCAAGTCCCTGTAAACCTGCTAACAGGCTGCCAGTTCAAAGAATGTTTGCGTTTTCATGGGTAAGAGGGATAGTGTTCGGTGATTTTCAAGGCTATTTTAGACATTGCATTTGTACAGCATAAAAGCCCTCAAAGTCCTCTCCTGCCCGTGGTCATTTGGCCTCACCACATTCCATGGGATGGTCTGGGTGTGGGTGACATCTCCATTTCCCACATGAGGAAACTGAGGCTCAGAGATGCCTTGCTGATCAAGACTCCGTGTTTTAGGTTCTTCTTCGCAGGCCTTATAAATATTGGCCTTCGGGGATTCAAAAAACTTCCCTCTCATTCCCACTTTCTCACTCAACAGTTCAGCAGTTCTCAAAGTGGGTCTCCAAGACTTTTTCAGGGGATCCACAAGGAAAAACTATTTGATTATAATCCTAAGACTTTGTTTGCCTTTTTTACCCTTGTTTTCTCTCAAATACACAGTGGAGTCTTACAGACACATGCTGTCGTAACAGATGAATGCAGAAGTCGATGTGAGAAGCCAGCTATACTCTATTAAGCCAGACGTAAGAGCGGCTCACCAAAATGCAAAACAATGCCACTCTTCTTTTTTATTTTGGAAAATGTAATTATTTTTCATAAAAATATAGTATTTATGGGAAAACACAATAGGTTTCTCATTATTTTTAAATAAATTAATAAATGTTTTACAGTCTCAGTTTTAATTTCTAATTCTGAAAATGTCAATATATCTAACCCACAGAAATAAAACTTCCCTGGGATCTTCAATCATTTTTAAGAGGGTATAAAGTCCTGAAATCAAAAAGTCTGAGACCCTCTGGGTTAAAACATTTTAGTTCACTTTGTTCCCAAGAAACGGGACTGCTCATGGCCAAATACTTTCCTGGTCACTTTAGGCTGGGTACAGTTTTCTCTGGTAAAATTTGGAGGTATGACCCAGTGTTTCCTAGAAGTTGGCCATTTATTTGTAAGCCACCTTTCTGATTTTTGTCCTGGTTGAATACTACCTATACCTTTATTTACTTTAAAAGGAAATGAGTAAATCAAAAAGGAAGTAGACCGAGGATTAATCCTTGAGACCCTCCAACATTAAGAGATCCAGCTCTATTTGGAGGTCTCATAGGCACCTCAGACTTATACTTCCAAAACTGCACTCCTGATCTCCCTTCCCTAAACCTCATACCCACCCGTATCCTTCCCCAGGTCTGCTGGTGGCAACTTCATCCTTCTAGTTGCTCAGGCCAAAATCTCACTCCTCTCATTCTTCTCACTCAATGCACTGGGAAACCCTGTTGGCTTTACCTTCAAAATCTGTCCACAGTCTGACACCTTTCCAGTTCCACTGTCATCATCCTGGTCTACACTGCCATCCCATCTCACACAAGGTATTAGAGTAGCCTCCTGACTGAGTCTCTCTGCTTCTATTCTTGTTCCTCTAAAGTTGATTCTCAACACAGTAGCCATGACGACTCTTTTAAAATATGTCAGATCATTGCAATTATTTGCTCAAACCCTTCTGATGTTTCCATTTTGCTTAGAATAAAAGCCAAAGTCCTTATAATGTCCTGTAAGACCTTTACAGATATGCCCCATCCCATTACATCTCGACTTCAGCTCCTGCTACTAGTGTTCCCCTTGTTCATGCACTGAAGCCACACAGAACTCCGGACTGTTGCTTAAACATGCTAAGTATTCTCTTGCCAGAAGGCTTTTGCATTGCTATTCCCTCTACCTAGAATGCTGTTCCCCTCAGATGTCCACATAGCTAACTCCTGCACCCTCTTCAAATTCTTGCTTAATTATCACCTCAACGAAACCTTCCCTGAATGCCTTATTTAAAATCACAACCCCCCATACCCCTCATTCCCTTTAACCGTTTTTGTTCCTTTTTGCCCATAGGACTTACCAAACTCAAACAAACCCCATAATTTTCTGATGTATTACATATATGTTTATTGTCAGTCTCTCCCCTATAGAATGAGAGCTCTAAGAGGGGATTCTGTCTTATTCACTGATGAGACCAAGCATCCAGAACAGTGCCTGTCACGTAGGAGATGCTCAGTGATTCTGTGCTGAATGAATTGAAATCTAGTGGCCAAAGTCAGCTTTCTCTCTGTTAAAATGGGAAATTGGCACATGTGATAAAGGTGTTAGTTAAATCAGCCACAAAAAACAAGGGTGATCTAGCACCTCTTATATTATCCTGGATAGAGCTGGAGCCCATTCTACTAAGTGAAGTATCACAAGAATGGAAAAACAAGCACCACATGTACTCACCAGCAAATGGGTACTAATTGATCAACATTTATGTGCGCATATGGTAGTAACATTCATCAGGGGTCAGACAGGTGGGAGGAGGGAGGAGAGGATGGGTATATTCACACCTAATGGGTGCGGTGTGCACTGTCTGGCTGGGTGGACACACTTCAAGTTCTGACTCGGGTGGGGCAAAGGCAATATATAACCTAAACATCTGTACCCCTGTAATATTCTGAAATTAAAAAAAATAAAAATTAAAAAAAAATCAGGCAGGAGACAGAGACATCCTATGTGACACAATCAGAGGACTGGAAGACCATCAGAAAGGAAATTAATTTTTCTTCCATGTGATTCCATGTGACTTCATACTGGGTTTGTCATCTTGAGCACCCCCAGTAGTAGCCAGCCCCCCAGTCCCTTGGGAAACACTGGCCTATCACTCAGCAAAAATGATAACAGCACCAGGGCTGGCACCCGTCTCTCTTTCTCTCTCGCCCTACAGAGCAAGCAGCCCCACCTGTAGTTGTCCTTGGACAGGCTGGGGAAGTGGGGTGGCTGTGGCCATCCAGGACTGGATAGTCCTGTGTCCTGGTCCAATAGTCACACCTAGCAGCCCTGAAAATCAAGCAGGGATTTCTTTGCCAGAAATGGGCTTCTTGGCCATCCTCACACCTGCCCCTCACCTCCCCAGCCTGGGACACCCACATAAAATCTCCCAGGCTGGCAGTGTCCTACCTTCAGGGAAATCGACGCTGTCTCATTGGTGAACAGGAGAATGGCCTGTGGCTGGAGTGTTTTCAGGTAGAAACGGATGTGCCAGTTGCGAACTTCTGGGGGCCTGTACCGCACATAGCTCTGACCACTGAGCCTGGCAGCAGTACCTGCAAAAGCAACCAGAAGTGTCACCAGCACATAAAGTAGTCTTCACGGAGCCCTTGGACTGACTTTGTCTCGTTCAATCCTTGGGTGGCAAACAGGGTCATTGCTCACATTTTATACATGATCTAGGCTCTGTGTGTACAGGGGGACTTTTCCAGGGTCGCACAGCTAGAAAGGAGCTGTCGCCCAGCATGCCTGCCTTTGACCTCAGGGACTCCATGCTTACAGTCAGGCGGGCTGAGCCCAACAGCGCAGGCTGTCCCTAGGGAAGATCCACTTCTCACCATTGCAGGAGCAGTTCCTCTGCAGCTGGTGCCGCGGGGTGAGGATGCTCAGCCTGGCGGTGCTGTACGTGGGCCCAACTTTGGGGTCCAGGAGCACTGTGTCTTGGCAGATTTGACCCTGGCAGCTTGGCCCAGGGCAGGGCACCACGGGCATGGCTGAGCGCATCTGAACCCCCACTGCATGCTCCATCTCCTTAGCTGAGCGAGTGATGATGGATGCCAGCTCTTGGAGCGTGTAGAAGGTTCCGGAATGCCTCTCAAAGACCAGGAGCACGTCCACACCAGCCACGGCCTCTGCAGGCTGAAGGCTGGCCAAGTGGATGTTGGCCCGTCTGATGTCCAGCTTGTTGCTGAGGAACCTCTGCAGGTTCCGCCAGTGGTCGCTCACCAGCTCCTCGGGGGTGAGCTGCTGGAAGCCTATCCACATGGCCTGCTGCAGAGCCTCCCGCTCCAGGTGCCACACGTGGACGTGGACCCCAGCTGTGGTGCTGAAGGTCCCATCGCTGACTGTGACATTGAACGAGTAGTGGCCGTGAGGCAGTCCCTGGGCGGCAATAATCTTGCCATCGGAGGCTCCCACTGAGAAGCGCCTGCCCAGGGCCTCCTCTCCTGCCAGGCTGTAGCTCAGCGTGTCCTGAGGGTCTCGGTCTGTGGCATGGATCTTACCCACCATGCCGCCCTGGAACTCCTCCTCCCCGACGGTGATGAAGATCTCCAGCGGGAGGGCGGAGGGTGGGTAGTGGCTCTGCTCTGTGATGTGGACTAGGACAGATGTGGAAGACGAGAGGGGAGGGACGCCGCTGTCTGACGCCTGTAGGCAAAACAAACGCTGCTGTCACCCAACAGAACCATGTCTCTTTGCCCCATGCCCACCTCGAGGGCAGGCTCAGTGCACTGTTGCATTTGGAGAAAAAATCTAACTCCAAAAGCACTGGTCTATAAATTTAGATCTTCTGAAGGTTTCGTAGGGAACGCAGGAGGGAGTTACATCCCATGCGGTACATTAAACACCTCAGTTTCCTCATCTGACATTTCTCTGAGCCTCTTCCTAAATCTCTCCAGCCACAGCCCCGGGCCTCCTTCCCCAGGTGAGTCCTCAGATGTCTCCTAGCGATGCCAATGCACAGCCTTTTACAGCACCTGCTCGGCCTGGGGACTTTCTCCTTGGATTCCCCTTGACTGGGCGATTGGAGTGGGAATGGGGATTTGCTCTTCTGGCCAGTCAACAAACATTTACTGAGTGCCTCCTATGGGTCAGGCCCTCTGCTGTGACCAGGAGAAAAGAGACCATAAATATGTTACCAAATAAGCAAGAGAATGTCAGACCTGGGTAAAGTGCAATGAAGGAAATAAACAGAAACCTCATTTCCGTCAGGTGGAATGGAGGGAGTCTCGCGGGAGTGACATTTGAGCTGAGTCCTGAGGGACAAGAAGAGGTGAGGAGAAGAGGTGACAGACAGAGGGAAGAGCGCACGTAAGGTCCCGGGCTGGGAAAGAGGGTGGAGTGCCCAGCGACACAGAAGGGGCCACCGGTGCTGGAGCGAGGGGGCAGGGAAGCAGGGCTGGCCTCACTGACCCGCTGGGAGCACAGGTGGGACTTTATGTCAGAGCCGGGCAAAGCCAGGGAGGGTTTGAAGTAAGGGGGACGTGGCCTCATTTAAGTAGGGAAAAGGATGTAAGTGAAAAATGCATTTTCCTTTCATGTTTGACCACCCTTCCCTGCAAGTTTCCATCTGACTCAGGAAAGACAAAGCTCTCCTCAGTGACATTATCACCTCCTCAGCTGTCAACAAGGGTCTCCTGTGGGTTTCCTTGTAGTAGTGTCTTGTTCACCTGCATTCCAACACTTTGCATAACACTGAAGAGATATCCATAGCAACAGCAATAATTAATACTACCACTAATTAGAATGTATAGCTAACATTAACTGCAATAACAGTTAATACTATTGCTATAATGTATAGCTCACATGAACTGGGTACAAACCATGAGCCAGTCACTTTTACATACTTTAAATGCATTATCACAAGTTACCTTCCTTATGAGACAAGCACCCTCAAGTCTCCCATTTTACAAAAGATATAACCGAAGCTCAAGGAGGTCAAGCAACTTGCCCAGGGTCATACAGCAGGTAAGGCCCGAGCAGAATCTGAACGCCCCTGTCCGTAGCCTGTTTTTCTTTGCTGGCCTATGGTGCCTCCCAGTGAACGGCAGTGGAACTACAGACAAATGCGGGAGAGTGATGATGCCAGCAGCGACTAAGCACCCGTCTGGGCGGCCCCGCCCGGGTCTGAGAATACAGAAGTCAGGAGACTGTTCTCTCTCCTCCAGCACTTGCATTCATGCTCTTGGCTTTGAGGACCATCTTCATTAGCCCACGCCTTTCGTCTTAGCTGCCAACCCACAATTACCCAACAACCCATTGGACACGTCCACTGGGATGTCTCACGGAAAACTCGGAGGTAATGTGCAAAATTCGTTTTACCCCATAAACCTGCCCCACTTCCCGCCCTAAGTCTTTGTGGTCTCATAAATGGCACCATTGCCCAGTCTTCACTCAGCCAGAGATTTGGGAGTCATCCCTGATCCTTCTCTTTTCTTTCTATCCCCACATCCAACCCATCTCCAGCTCCTGTCTGTTTACATGCAAAATCTGTCCCTAATCTGTCTCCTTCTTGGCATCTTGGCATCCATTACGTTGAGGTCTTAGCACCACTGTCTCCAGCTTGCATGACTTCTCGCTGGTCTTCCTCACCCACTCTCTATACAGAGCTTCAGAAAGGAGCCTCCTGACAGATGGGAAGGGTCACTTTCCTGTTTGCAGCCCTCAACCACTTTCCACTGCCCTTAGCGTAGAATCCAGAAGAATTACCGAGGCTTACAATTACATGACTGTTTGTCCCGGTTTGCCAAGGACAGTTCTTTTTTTTTTATCCCCAGCACCAAGAACATGGGACAGTCTTGATTTTTACCTGTTGTGGATCAATTATCACCAATTAATTATATTTAAGTGCTATGGACTGAATGTTCGTGTCCCCTTGAGATTCATATGTTGAAATCTAATCCACAACGTGATGGTGTTCAGAGGTGGGGCCTTTGGGGTGTGATTAGATCACGAGGGTGGAGCCCTCGTGAATAGAATTAGTGCCCTTATGACAAGAGGCCGGATTGCCAGCTCGCTCCCTTCCTGCCACGTGAGCACACAGCAAGGAGTCAGCAGTCTGCGGTGCAGAAGAGGGCCCTTGCCCTAACCCAGTTATGCCGGCACCCTGATCTCAAACTTCTGTCCTCCAGACTGTGAGGAATAAATCTCTATTCTTTGAGCCACCCGGTCTATGGTATTCTACTGTAGCCGCCTGAATGGACTAAGACACTGCCTCTCTCGCTCTCAAAAGATCACAGTTTGGACCTCAGATAACACAGCGACCCAAGCCACGAGGCCACCGTGGTCTGCCCGGCCCCTCTCTTCAGCTTGACTCCCACCATTGCTCAGGATGCTCTGACTGCCTCGGTCACATCTCGGACCAGTTCAAGTGCTTTCCCAATGCAGGACCTGGCTCCTCTTGTTCTTCCTGCCTGGAACACTCTGCTGCCCGCTTGTCCCATGCTTGGCAGCTCAGATCTCCACTCTGGTGTCACCTCATGGGGGCAGCCTCTCTCTGAATATGTGTGTTCCCTGTGCCTCACGAGTCTCTCATCACTTTATTTCCGTATCACGGTTTGTACGGATGTTATTTCTTTCTTCATCTGTTTATTGTGTATATCCATAATTAGAATGGAAGTCTCCTGGGGAGAGGAAACATTGGTTCCCTTCCTATCCTCTGCTATATTCCTAGCAGTTAGTATAGGGCCTGGCATATAGTAGGTGCTCAATAAATACTTGTTCAGAGACTGAATGACTGAATGAATAAATACATCACTCCCACCCTACAAGTTCACAGAACAGTAGGGGCCACTGGACTTGAGACTTAGGAAAGTGATTTGGGGGGATTGAAGTGAGGGAGAAATGTCTGATCACCAACTTGGCCACAGTTCTTGGGCAATTCCCGCACACCCCATAACAATACCACCATAATCCCCTGCACGTGGGCGCACAATCGCCCACTCAGGCCCCACACCAATTCTGTGAGGCAGGTCTTGTTAGCACCCGAGGTTCAGAGAGTTGTTCTGGCCAAACTCTAGGAGTCAGAGCCAGAGTGAGGATGTGAGGCATGGTGTGGGGATTAGGAGTTTGGGGTTGGGGGGCAGAGTGCTTGGGTTTGAAGCAACCCACCTCTGCCACTTATTAACGGTATTACTTGAAGCCACTCCCTTAACCTCTGTGTGCCTCAGTTTTCTCATCTGTAAACTGGGGCAGATGACAGAAGCATTGGTAGTGCCGTTGCCAGCATATTTACTGTCCCCACTTCCCCACCGGAGGCCCAGCGCAGCTCTCACCTCGATCTGAAGCTGATACCATTCCTGCACCCTCCTGCTCAGGCCCTCGGCAGTCACCAGCCATCCATCCGGGGTCACTCGGAAGGCAGAGCCATTGTTCCCCTTGGTGATTCGGAACGAGTAGGGGGGCCCGTTCTCTGGGGAGTCCGGGTCACTCAGGATCAGCTGCAGGACTTTGCTGCCTATGGGGGAGTACTCCTGAGACCAAAAGTGTAGAAGACCAAAGAGCGAAATGAGTCCCAATCCTCGCTTTTGTATCTTTCTGGATCTGCCCATCTGGGATGAGTCCTCAGCACTCTGACCACTCCCAGGCCATGCCTGGACCTCTAGCTGACACTCACTCATCCTACCTGATTTTGAGGTAGTTGTTGACTTTTCAGTCTAGACCAGGAGCTCCCTGAGGGAAGGGAGGTTAGGTCTTAGAAACAAAGCCCACCAGGGCTGGAAGGGTCCTTAGAGACGAAGGTCAAGCCCTTTATTCTACAGAGAGGTGACTGCCCAAAGTCACACAGCTGTTGAATCATGTCTATAAATTGGTACCTGGGATGCATGTGATTTGCAGGGCCAAGTGAACACCTATAAATGGTTTCTTGTTTACAGGACCAAGGCAATACACATATGATGAGCAAATTCAAAGATGATAAGGAATTCACTTAAGAAAAATTGATCCCCTGAGTATCATTCAGCCTTTGTTTTACAACATGGGGATTGAATATGCTATTATATAACACAATGGTAGTTAGCCATCTTTTTAGTAGCCCAACATTATCTACAAACCAAATCTAATGGACAGAAACTGATGGTTGCCTATCCAATAAACATTCTTACTTCCTTTCTTATAAAATCTTACTTTTGTTCAGGCATGGTGTGGCAATATCCTCAGGAAAGATGTGCCCCTCCAAAGAGGAGATGGACTATGATTTGTCTTAGTCAGTTATAATAATCTGATTCCCCATGTCAGTGTTTGGTTTAGGAGTGAGCTAGTAATCCAATTCTGACCATTGGAGAAGTCTACCAAGTAGGGTTTCTGAAAAGTCATCTTCTGTGATAAAAATGGGTCCTTTGAAAGAAGTCCCCTTCTATTTGCCTTTGAAGATGGTTAGACAAAAGATGTGATGCTGGAGCTGCAGCAGCCATTTTACAATCATGAGGGAGAGGATGAGGGAACTTCAAAGAAGTTAACCCAAAGCCACAGTATCTCTTTCCTACTAAAATAACCTATTCTGGAATGGAATTTTCCATCAGACCTCTTGTTATATGAAATAATAAGTCCTTCTTATTTAACAAACTTTCAGTCAGGTAATCTGTTATTTGGAGCCAAAGTATCCTAATTCATACCCATAATATATAAGACAGATAAAAGTGGAACAACTCTGGGTGATGCATGATAGGACCTAGAATTCTGCCCTCTTATTCACTTCCTCCCCTCCCTCACCTTTTATAACCCAGACAATTCCTTATAGAATCCCAAGGCCCTCTCCAAATCCTATTTGCAAATCACTGGAATATAGTGGAAATAGCTTGGGATCTGGAAAACTTTCTGCGTTTAAATCCCGAGTTTGCCACATTCTAGCTACGGCGTGTTTCTGCACTTCCATATTTTAAATCTATAAAATGAGTACTACCTACTCCACATGGCTGTCGTGAGCCTCCAGTGAGATGATGGATACAGAAGTGCCTAACACAGTGCCTGATTATTTTAAATTCCACAGTCCCTTCAGCAGCCCGTGTTCCCTTGAGGGAAATCAGTGGCAAGGTCACAGCCACTGTCTGGGTGTTCTGATACCACCGAGGAGCACCTTCTGGTAGGAGAGAAATTGAGGGAGGGAGGCACAGGGTCCCTTTCGAGGCTTGAGCTTACCTGGACAGTGGTGCTGTAGTTGAGCTGGAAGAATCTCGGTGGGTTATCATTGACATCAATCACCTGGATAGTGATGTCTGTGTCCTCGTGCAGTGGGGGCTGCCCGCTGTCTGTGGCTCGGAGACTCAGGTAGTAGCTGGAGGTCTGTTGCAAGATGCCCAGTGGAGGTTATCAATGAGGACCCTCACTTCTGCCCCCTGACTCATCGCTAATGTTTTCAGAAAAAGAAGATAAAGATACTTCTCTATGCCCACCCCCATTGCCCACCCACAGCACTTTCGGGCTCAGGTTCTGGAGTCAGACAGAAATAGGAGTGATTTCCTACTCAACCATTTACTAGCTATGAGATCTTGGAAAATGACTCCCTAGGAGTATTTTGAGGACTGATTGGTATAATGCATGTACAGCATTTAGGAGAGTGTCTGGTACAGAGCAGGGGCTCAATAAATGGTAGCTGTCACTGTAATGATCTAATGAGCCTGCTCATCGTGAGAAGCCATCTGAGCTCCTCTAGGGAGGGTTATGGGTCACTTAGTCCCTCTCCTGCCTCTGGCTTCACAGTCCACAGGGGCCCGCACAGAGAAAACAAGTGGGAGGCACTCTGGGCAGGTCTGAGGAAGTGTCACGATGGGGTGTTGATCACAACTCATCCTCTGGACCTTCAGCGGGACCATATCTCTGCCCTAATGAACTCAGGCTGGGCCCCCTCCACCCCATGACTCACCTGTTCCCAGTCCAGGGCTTTGGCCACCTGTAGCTCCCCCTTCTTGGGGTGGATGGTGAAGTGCCCAAGCTGGTTCCCTCCTACCAGGCTATAGGCAATGGCGCTATTTAGGGGTCCATCCTCATCGGTTGCCGACACCTGCAGTGGGGGAGGGTGATTGTGAATGGAGGGACAAGAGGGAACCAGAGAGGAATCTCGGCACCTGGGAGTGTAGGAGGGGACAGATACGTCCCTGCGCTAATGACTGCCACTGGGCTGGCAGTCCCCGGACCACAGTAGTCCCTGTCAAGGGAATATCTTCATTCACATCCTAGTGTGGACTTCAGCATGCCATGGTTCATTTATTCATTCATTCATTCACTCATGCTGACAGGCTGCTGGGGCCTGTGCTAAGAGGCGAGGAATGTGCCAAATTAACTCTGTCTACAGAAAATGTAATGTCTAATTTCATAGATAATTCTAATTGGGGTCCAAGTATGAGCAGCCGTATGGGAGCACAGAGAACACAGTGGCATGTCACGCCAGGGGAGATCAGAAGAGGATTCACGAAGCCTCGAAGGATGGGAAGGGCGGGGCGGGCACTCCGGGTAGAGGACACAGCGTGAGGCCAGAGGCGTGGAAGTGCAGAAGATGCTGGGGAAAGGCGCGTCTTCCGTGTGGGCGGAGCACAGGTGCACGTCGGGGAGCGGAAGGGGAGGAGACTGGAAGGCAGTGTGAGCGTGGGTGCAGAGTTGGGTTTCACTCCATTCGAGGAGGGAGAAGTCACACATTTAAATGCAAAGAGGTATTATTTGATGTTCCCTCCCCCACACCACCGTCAGGCCACCTCGGAGACTCAGGAAATAGCTGGAGGTCTGTTGCAAGATGCCCAGTGGAGGTTATCAATGAGCACCCTCACTTCTGACTTCCAAAGCCTGACCCTCTTCTCAGGCTTTGGAGTCTGGCAGTCCTCTGGGGTCTGCCTTCTCTCCTTCCTCTCCTGTCACAGCTCACCCATCCCATGCCAACCTGCGATCTCATCATGTAGTTCTGAGACATTCTCTCGAGAGAGATGGTTTCGCTGAGTAACTACAAGCCAGAGTCAAGTCTACAGCATATTAATTTAATAAACTCATCTGTGCCTGGGGGCAGGGATGCGTGTGTGTGAGATAAAAACCCACCGCAGGCTCCACGCCCCACAGAGCAAAGCTGCGGATCCTTACCGTGAGGATGACGTCGCCCACGATGGCATTCTCCGAGACCCTCACGCTGTACAGATCCTGGAGGAATCTGGGCCGGTGTTCGTTGACATCGGTGATGTTGACCACGACTGTGGTCGTGTCACTGAGGGAGGAAGAGCTCTTCCGACTGCACTCGATGGACAGGAAGTACTTGGGGCTTGTCTCAAAGTCCAGGCTCCTGTTGACGTACAGGATCCCTGAAGAAACAAGAAGGGACTGGAGCAATAAGGCAGCTGGAGCCACCAAGGCAGGGGACTGAGGGGTCTGAGCCCAGCCCAGGACAGGCAGCTCCACAGGAACCGGAGAGCTGAGTCTCCGCCGTCACCTCCCGCTTCATCTCCCTCTTTGTTGTCCCCCCTCCTTCCCCCTCATCTGCTCTCATTTTCTTATTATCATTCCCCACAGCAGTGTCTCCCTCATTTATTTCTGTGATGCTAAATTTATCCCATTTAGATCTATAAAAATCCCGAGCAGCAGGAACAATTGCGATTCCCACTTTCTAGGTGAGTCAACTTGATGCTCGAACAGGTAGGTGACTTGCCCAACCTCATCCAGCTAGTCAATGACAGACCTCAGATTATAGGAAGAGTTTCATAATACCCAAAGTTGTTCAACAAATTGTTAAGGCATAGGTTTATTATTCTTAAAACTAGAAAAGAAAAGAACGAGCAAGGATTTATCCTGCTGTTCCTAGATAACCAAATGGTTAATGGTAGAAACTCTTCTTTATAAAAGAATTCAGTTGGTAAATGAATGAGGAATGATAAGGTTATAAAATCACCATTTTGCAGCCCCTTATGAAATAGTATATCTAGGAAATCATTAGCAATGGCTGCTGAAGCCATTAGAGGAAGGCTGATGAAGAAATCTATAATGAGCTTGGCGTGGTGGCTCACGCCTGTAATCCTAGCACTCTGGGAGGCCGAGGCGGGTGGATCGCTCAAGGTCAGGAGTTCGAGACCAGCCTGAGCAAGAGCGAGACCCCGTCTCTACTAAAAAATAGAAAGAAATGATCTGGACAACTAAAAATATATATATACAGAAAAAATTAGCCGGGCATGGTGGCGCATGCCTGTAGTCCCAGCTACTCAGGAGGCTGAGGCAGAAGGATTGCTTGAGCCCAGGAGTTTGAGGTTGCTGTGTGAGCTAGGCTGATGCCACGGCACTCACTCTAGCCTGGGCAACAAAGAGAGACTCTGTCTCAAAAAAAAAAAAAATAAATCTGTAATGGATAGAGCTGATATCTGAGCCCACTGTCAATCTTAACAGTGAGCCAACTGGCTCTTATGTGCCTCCCAACATGGTGTGAATAGCACAACATCAATTATGAAGCATTGTGGATCAAGCATTGTTGACTCAACCTGACCAAGGCTTTCCATCCAAATGTCATTCATAGGAAATACAAGGGCCAGAGGGTTATGCTATATGACATTATAAAGATACAGCCAGCCAATCCAAAGTATGGAAGATTCTATCAGACACAACTCAAATGTTTCATTAAGTAAATGGCAGGGGGAAATAAAGAGGAAGAAGAAAGTGTTAGAGATTAAAAGAGACTTAAGATATTATATATCAACCAAATTCAATATGTGGACATTTTGAGGATGCTGACAAACCAACTTCAAAAAGACATTTATGAATTAATCTGAAAAACTGTCTGGCTGGGTATTAGATGATATTACGGAATTGTTATCTTGTAGGTGTGATAAGGTATTGCAGTTTTGTTTATAAAAGGAGTTCTTATCATTTAGAGATACACACCAAAATCTTTAGAAATGAAATGATATGGTGTCTGGAATTTGCTTTGAAACAACACACCAATAGGTGGGTTTGGGGCTGAAGGGTAAAGAGAAAACCATACCAGCCTCTATTGATAATTACTGAAGCTGTGCGGTGGGAACATGGGGGGCTGTTGTACTGCTCTACATTTAAATCGCCATAATAAAAACTTTTTAAAATACTGCTCAATGGCAAGGCAGTTGTTTTGGGAGGTAGAGAGCAGCATTCCAGGGGCGCTGTGTCTGCATGAGCCATGGGCTGACCTGGCAGCCTCTGAGGCCCTCCCATGAGTTTCTGTGAGTCTTAGACCCTTCTATGTCTAGGAGGAAAGAAGACAGATGGTTTCCCAGTTCTTTCTCCCTTCGTGAGAATAAAGGAAGATGCAGGGGTGCCAGGATGTTTGGAGGGGATGGGGGGACTCTAGGAGGGAAGCAGGCAGCCGGGTCCTGGGCTTAAGCGCCAGATTCCAGCAAGTGCGTGGTGCCTCTGCGCCAAGGGGGGAGGGCTGCCCTTGAGACCATGGAGCCAAGAACTGTGGGAGCAGAGTGGGTTGCTGGGGGTCCTGGCACAGAGTCCTGGGTGGGGATGTGGGGGAATAAGGAAGGGTCCCAGCTAAGCTGGCCCCAGGGAGGAAGAAGGGACCAGGTACCTGCAGAGATGCATGCAGAGAGGGGAGAAACAGCCACAGGTCTGCTCGGGAAGGGGGCCACGCGAGGCAGATACGCCCCATGTGTGAGGAATCCAATGCACTGCGGGACCCGGGAACGTGCCCGTGCCCGTGCCGTGGAGGCGTGGGGCTGGCTCACCTGTGCGGGCGTCCAGGCGGAACCGCCCCTGCTCGTTCCCGCTGACGATGCGGTAGCCGGTGTTCTCGGCGCCCGGGCGCGTGAGGGTGGCCAGCCGCAGCACCTCCGTGCCAAGCTGGGCGTCCTCCGGCACCTGCACGCTGTTCTCGGTGTTCAGGAACACTGGCAGGTAGTCATCGAGGCCCACCACCGAGACCGTGACGGTGCCCAGCGTGGAGAGCGGGACCGGGGTGCCCAGGTCAGAGGCGCGGACCGTGAGCTCCAGCGCTGCCTGTGGCGTGACCCGCAGCGGCTTCTCGAGGCGGATCACGCCCGTGGTGGCGTCGATGGAAAAGTGGCCTTCGGCTGAGTCCGCCAGAGAGTAAACCACCTGAGCGTTGGCGCCTGCGGGGGGGGGGGGGGGGGGACCAAGGGCGTGATTCTCACTGAGGGCACCTCTGACCCTGCCTGCCACAAGCCCTGCAGCCACAGGAGGGCGTGAAGAGGGGGCTCCCCACGAAGGCTAGCTAACATGCCCAGGGGATATTGGGAGTGAGGATCTCTCCAGCAAGGGTCTTGATTAAGGCGGGTGGCAAAGGGAGGAGGGTGGTGGTCTGGTCTGCAAACCTATCAAACCATCCAAAAATGCTGGTGGGGGTTGGGGTCCAATGTCAGCTTATAACTGAAAAGTGTGCAAGATAAAACCACCCATAGCAAGTGCATTGGTTGTGATAGAACAGTTCTCTATCTTGATTGTGGTGTTCTTTACATGAATCTACACATGGAGTGATACTGTGTAGAGCTATACACACACGCAAATGAGTGTGTATAAAAACTGGTGAAATCTGAATAGGCCTGTAGTCTAGTTACTAGCAATGTGCCAATGTCAATTTTCTGGTTTTGAGGTTATGCTACAGCTATATAAGATAATGCCATTGGGGAAGCTCGGTGAAGGGTGCACTCTCAGCATTCTTTCTGCAACTTCCTGAGAGTCTACGATTATGTCAAAGTAAAAAGTTAAGAAAATAAACACACCCATGGAAGTTCTTAGCAAATCAAAACATACAGTGTTTCTTCAGCTTTGGCCCGGATTCTATTATTTTCTTTGGTTAAGTACCAGTTGAAGCAGTTGGCTGGTATTGGGGCCATGGTGCATGAAGAATACCAACATTTACTGCTCAGCTGTAAGATCCTCACTCAGTGGGATGAACACAGGTCCTGAGCCTCAGGGTCTCACATTTCACACCCATATGAGACACACACCCTTTGGTGGAATGGTGGCAGGAATTGCCTATGAAAACTGTCGAATTTACATATGCACATACCATGCAATTCCCCCATATATGCATTTCTATGAAGAGACCATAATTTTTCTGAGGAAAGGGAGATGGTGGTCAGGCCACACCTGGAATATTTGGGTGAAATATTTGGGTAAGAATAACCTTTGTGAAGGATTAATGGAAAATTGATACAATGCAAGAGGATGTGTCTTAGAAGGAAGATGGAATTGGAACCATGCAATTGAAGAAATTAGGGCTCTTCCCTTTGGAAAGGGAGGCTGAGACTGGAGCAAGCAGTCATCATCTCCTAGTGACAGAAGGTCTGTCCTGGATGAGGGGTCTAGAAGACCTGTGTGAGTGCAGAGGGCAGGACCAGGACCGGCAGGTGTCAGCCCCAAGGAAGTAGTACTTGAAGGAAGGGGCTGCCTAGGAAATAGGGAGCTTCCTATCCCTCGAGGTGTGCAAGCAGTGGCTAATTGAGCACTTACAGGGTCTTGTGGCCATTAGATGGGGGGGGGAGGGTGTTGGATTGTATGGCTTATGCATCACTCCAGCTCTGATGTGTTCTGGATCTGTCCTATCAAACCCAGCTCTGCATCTCCAACAAGTCTGTCCACTTGCATTTGTTACGCCCCCCACACACTCGTTTCCCAGGCCTGCCTTGGCACTGACTGTTGGCCCTCCCTAGAACCCCCGCATCTCTCCAAATCTCTCTCCTCCTTCAATGCCAAGCTAAAAATCACTTCCTCTAGGAAGTCTTAATTTTACTCTCGTGGTGTCAAACAAAGCAGGTGTTTGGACCCCACTTTTACCGTCATCATTATCCTATATTGATCTGACTACTTAGACCCTGAGGGCATTTTTTTACCCTATCTAAATTATAAATTTTGACTTAGGAAAATTGGATGATATATATATATATATATATAGTTACATATATATATAAAATTAGCCACAATAGAATAATTCATGGTGGCAGAAACTATAATTGGTACAATATGGATCAAATACTCTTGGATAAATCCAATTTGCCTTGTAAATTTTAAAAGGAAGGGAAAAGGAAACCCATGAAAATAATGTCATCAAAATTAAAATGCAAAATATTGAAGATGGTTCAACTTCACTGTACAGAAAATTGATCAAATAATTAATCAATTAATTTAGAGACAGCGTCTCTCTGTCACCCAGGCTAGAGTGCAGTGCCATCATCATAGCTCACTGCCACCTCAAACTCCTGGGCTCAAGCGATCCTCCCACCTTGGCCTCCCAAAGTGCTAGGATTAGTGGTGTGAGCCACCGCGCCCAGCCTGATCAAGGAATTTAATGGATTTAATGAAGTTTGTACCAAAAAGTTCCTTCCTTGTGGCCAATTAGTCAGAGTTGAATAATTCTGATTGGTATATTTATGATTAAATGTTTGTGTTCAAAGTAACCTTGAAGTTAAATGACAGTATTGAAAGGTCCCCAGGTGTAAGTGGGAGGGAAGAAACAATGAGGCTGAAATGCCTCACACCTGCATTGCTAAAGTCATTTGTCACACAGCACTTAGGTATGCAGTCTGTGGACATTTTCCACTTTTAAGCGTCCACAGATTTAACAAGGAAGCACAGTCCTTGCCAGTCCCAGAGAAACACAGAGAGAGCCAGACCCTTGCCCAAAGTGACTGAGCAGCTAACAGGGGAACAGGGGAAGTGGCCTCCAACCCTTCTCAGACTCACCTTGGTCAGGATCCCGGGCAAATACCACAGCTACTGGGGTCTTAACTGTGGTGTTGTCGAAGACAGCCACAGCACAGTGGCTGGGGAAGAACCGTGGGGCGTTGTCATTCACATCTTCCACGTGGAGAGTCACATCTGCCTGGCATGAGCGGCC